TTATTTTCCCAGGCTACCCCGTGCCGGCGCCTTGGACGTGTTAATCGATCTCATCCACTTCCTAGCATCGTTTCTCCATCTGTTGGCTAATCGATAGGATAATGACCGCGGTGGCGATTGTGTGAGTGTGTGTGGCTGTCTTCCCCTTTTCTCTCCCAGACTGTTTAAATCAAGAGGTTAGACAAGGCTATCTGCCTCCGGAGTACAGTGTCTAGCCAATAACTGTTCTCTAGCCGCCTGTGTGTCAGAAAGTGTGTGTGTAATTAGGAGAGTCTGGGTCTATGTGATGTCTCAATCGAGGGCTGGCTAAAATTGAAAGCCACCCTGTTCTCCTGTCGTAAATCGACTGTGTCAGTCTGTCATTTTCATGCCGCCCCGGCTCCCACAAGACACGGAGGCTGCTCCCAGCAACGTGATGTGAGTCACTGAGTGCACTGGTCACTTGGTTTGGTTTAAATCATATTTTATGCTAAAGGAAATTGGCCAGACCCACGCTAGAGTCCATCATGTGTTTACAATCAATGGAAAGTGGCGCTGGTTGAAAAACAGACTGTACAAAAAGTGTCAGTGTCACCGTCTTCATGAGAGCAAGACACATGTGCACTAGATGGATCTATGAACTTCACACAGGAACAAATGAATGAAAAATCACCAGAAAGCATCAATGCTTATCACTGCATCTCATCTCATAGGTTGCAGAGCAGAAAATGTACAAATTCGTTCTTACTGAATGCCTCCAGCGTGCTGCGATCTCTTTGTGCAAGACAGCAAATTCCTTCCAACTCCAAAAGTAGCCAAGAAGCCATGACCTTTGACCTACACATTGCGAGAAGCCAATAATATTCTTCTGGAGATCATTAACGTCTTTTCAAATGAGAGAATCTCTTGAGGGTTTTTCCACGATGGATGCAATTTTTCAAGCCAGCGACTTGAGCTCCCGAAATCCTTCTGCACTGTTATTATACTTGATTCCATTAAATCATCTATCCTGCAGGCATGGCGAGCAGCTAAGAGGCGAAACGGCGCAACATGAGCCGGGATCCAGCGTCAAAGACAGCTGCGTATACACGGATAGACGAAAACTGGCAGGCTGAACCGACAGGACAGCTCCCGTGTCACCTCATTTTATTTCTTCCAGCGACGCCAGAAAGTCTGTCAGTTATAAGGATTTAATGTTTGCACTCTGACCACAGCGTCTGATTTCACTGTACTTATTTGTTAGTCATGAATTTGGCGCGCATGTGGATGACGGTTTGGTAAAAGTAATACTGCACCCAAAATCTTCCTCTGAGCATCTAATCCTTGGCTCGTGGGGGCTTCAGAGGTGGGTGTGGGAAAAAAATAAATACATAAAAAAAATCTGAAAATGGCTTCTTCATGGTGGGTGGCAGCTGCAACCAGCTCATCTTACAAGAACTGCTAAAGATACTACTGTTACCATTTTAAAC